CCAGGGCGAGGCTCTTCCATTGCACTTCGGTTGAGCTGACCCTTGCGAATATCCCTAATGTGGATATCTCGGGCGTATAATTTTTGGTAGTCGGGACTGCGTTCGCGCTATCCCGGATAAACTAAATTAATCATAAATCCCTTAAATTTTTCCCTTCAATAAGTATTTTCCCTTATAAAACATTAACTCTAACTCCTTTTGATCAAACTATACAGTAAAATAAACCCATCCACGCAACACACCTGGTTATGTAAAAAGAATTTAATTGTATATTAGTTTGTAATTAGAATTCGAATTTGTTTTTATAAAAGTTGTTGTAAAATTTCAATATGATTTTTTAAATATTGCTATGTAATTTTGATCTTTATGTTTTTTTAATTAATATTTTTAACTGTAAAATGTATTTTTTACTTGTTGAATATTATTGGTGGAGAAAAGAAGCAACTCTTTTTTATTTGTACCTAATAATTTTTGACTTTTAAATACTATATGTTGCATGCTAGAAAAATGCATTTTGTGCAATTGGGAAATAGGTGTGTAATATTTTCACTTATACATTAGGTAAAATTACAAAAAATAAAATATAAATTTTGGATAGTAAAACATTTAAAAGATATATTATGAAGTCAATATAAATTTTTATCGCCATTTTTGATTGTTTCCATTAAAAAAAAAGGAAAAAAAAATATTAAAAAGGAATAATTGATTTTTGTCGCTTTTAACCAATATTTTTTATGAACATTTATATTTATGAAATAAATTGGGTATTTCTTGTTTAAACCGCAATTGAAATCTCATATAATATTTGTTAATATTAAAAAAAAAAAAAAAAATACCAAATAAAAATAATGCAGAGAAAATTCTCTTTGTGGTTGCAACTACAAAAGAGACGAGTGAAAAAAAGATTTTAATGCTTGGAAATCAAATAATTTCGTAATGTTAGAGCTACTTTTATTATTATTATTATTTTTTTTTATTTTGCAAATATAACGTAACGAAATAAAACGAAATGAAAATTTGTTGAAATCACTCACATATATTCCCGTAAATCGGACATTCGTTTTGCATTAGAAGTAGCCAACGATGCTGTTACTGGTGGGAATGTCGGCGAAGAACTGTACTGACATGGAGGAAACCTGGTGAAATTCTCGAGGAAGGAAAGGAATTAAACGTAGAGAAGGACCACCAATGCTCACTCGTAAATTGAGTTGCATCAGATCTAAAATTTAAACATTTAAATTAACCCGTTTAGCAAGTCAAAGAGATTAATGCGTATTTACGGTGTTTCTCCCTCAGTTTAATCTGAAACATTTCTATATCGATATTTTGTATTATTATTTTTTATTTAAAAAAGAACGCACACACACANTTTTTCTTTTTTTTTTTTTTTTTTTAAATATTAAATTGTAAGAAATACAAGTGTTCATCAATAGATGAAGAAGATTCATATCATTGATAAACAGATTGGATTCAATAAATTGAAAGATTTGCAATCTTAATTGGAATATTGTTTGATTATTGGCATCGATACACACACTTCTTTTTGTTCATCAAAATATTCAATTTCATACCATTTCTGTATGTTTGAGTTATCATTGAGGATGCGCACGCATAATAATTTTTCTTCTCACTTAAGATCAGAGGTCAATGTGTTAATGTTTCTGATATCAATACAGTCACGTTCTGACTTAACTTATAATCGAACGGAAAGTTTTTAAGAGTCCGTCACCCTATATCGATCTTATTGCACTTTCGATATTCATTTTCAATCTTGAAATATGTTTCTAAATCGTGCGACAGTTATTATATTTAGTAAGCACTGAGATATAATGCATATTTATTCAAATATTTATCCAAGCAAATGAATAATAATATAAAGTTACTAGAAAAAACAAAATTTGTTTGTTGTTTTTTTGTTTTTTTGTCCTTTTGTTTTTTTTTTTATTTCAAATAAGATGTATGAAATGTGTACAAACGAAAGGGTTTTGTTTTTAAAACAGCGTTCGTCGTAATGGCGATCATCATCCTATGCGTATCCTCACCGATACAGGAAAATATTTTGACTTGTGACTGTAATCATTGTGATGAGATGAACATGAAGAATACGATTGATCTTAAAGAAAAGGAAATGACTACTACTACTCCGATAATTACAGATGAAAAAAAAACGAATGAAAAAGAAATCAACGATGATGGAACAATAATTTGTGCCAGAGATCGCGACTTAGAAGATAAAACCTTTCCGAGCATGTGTCACATGCTTTGTTACAACCAATGTACACGTTTTCGTATTGCTACGCAAAAACACAAGAATATTACGAGATTTATTAATGCTATATATAGAACGAGTAAGTAATTATATTTTATCTTAATTGAGACAAAAAAAATATATAATAATTAAAGATTAAAATACTGTCTCCTGTTAAAAAAGAACAGTTTTAATGTTTTTTAAGAGTATATATACATATATAAATATACTTTTGTTTTTTTTTTCGTTTTTCGTTAACATCTTAATATCTTTCTTTTCTTATCATTGGCTTTTTAAATTATCAGTTATTAAAAGTCTGTATAATTTGATATGCGTAGTAATTAGTTAATTAATTTCTTTGCATAGATTACTACAAATTGTGGGATGGTCCTTGTTAAAGAGAAAAAAACAATCAAGGAAGGAAAAATATCAAACATTTATCTAATATCTATCTATCTATCTATATATATATATATATATATATATATATATATATATATATATATATATATATATATATAAATGTATCTCATAAAGATTGAATAAAATTATATTTTCTATAAGAGTATAAGGTGTAATGATAAGCCTTTTTGTCATTATGTTAAAAATAAATTCGAATGAATGTATAAAAATCAGGTTTAACCCTTTGAGTGCTGAATACTTTTACCTAAAATGTTTTGTAGGAACAGAATAATTTATTATTAACCAGATTTTAATAATAAATTATATTTAATAATTAAAGATTTTGTTTCTGAATATTATTTAATTGATTAATATAAATATTAAATTATTTTACATTAATGTTAACAAAGAGACACATATGCGTCGATAGACCACGCTAGTTATTTTTACCAAACGTATATATACGTCCATAGCACTCAAAGGGTTAATGTGTGATTTTGATAAGCAAGTAAACACATATCTTCTATTTATATATCTCTTTTTCTTCTTTGTATCATGAATTATTTCTATTTTATATATCTCTCTTTGAAATCGTGTAGTCACGTTGTAACTTTCCGGGTATCCCCACTCTATCGAACTACTGCTGCTGCTAGTGACCTCAACTCCTTCACCAACTCTTAGTTCTGTAGCTTGCCGCTATGTTGCGCATGGTCGGACATATACTCGCAGTTATAACGAAGTTCGTTGTGTATAAGTATCATTGAAAACGACTTGAAAGCATACTTACCTGGCGCAGAGGTTACCGTGATCATGAAGGCGGTTCCTCCAGGGCGAGGCTCTTCCATTGCACTTCGGTTGAGCTGACCCTTGCGAATATCCCTAATGTGGATATCTC